TAATGTTTTTTTTAAAGTTATCCGTATTCGTGGAATGTGCGTTATTTTAAATAACCAGACTGAATATAAATGGCGAACAGGATCTATATCAGTTCAATAACGTGAGTTGTGTAAAAGCAACCTGTGTTTTGAGAGTGTTACGTTTCTATCGAAATTTCAGTGAGAAATGCAAAATATCTGCGCCGTCTGGTTGTCACGAATGGGGTCGCGGCACTTGAACGTCATCGATGATAATCGAGTCACATGACTTTGCTTTTGGCGAAAATGACACCTGGAGTTACAGCATCTACGGTGTATTTGTGTACTGTTTTTATTGTTTTATTCAATGTATATGTCGATAGCCAGGATACTGATGCACAGGTGAGACAGTTCGCTATGTCAAATGAATTCATACGATGTAACAGATAGTCATTTGCGAAATGATTGTAATGAAATAATACATGCTACATAGATATATTAGTCACATTGTTGTCATCTGTCTTCACTGTTGTAAAGTAAAGTAAAACAATGCATGCTGTTTTATAATATATTTTTTAAAGCTTTCACCTTTATTTTTGCTAGTTATGTAAAATGTGTGAAGGAACTGTACGACAAGATAGTCCTGTCTGGGATTTCTGCCTAACAAAAGGCCATATAAGAGGACGCTGCTGTTTTGGAAATGAAACCAGCAATGTAGATGCCATTATAGGGTAGGAAAACTTTTCTAGTATTCCACATTTTGACATTTATTCTCTATGTATAATCTAACTGTACGGTGCTGTTTTAGGTTGGATTTGGCAAACTGCTCTATCAGTCACGTAGAGCACCTGTACAATTCATCCACAGCATTCATCATGTATGTACCAGAGCAGGTTTTTCATGTTAATCTGCATGTGTCATTTTAGCACTAAATTGAATATCTAACTGTTGTCATTCTATATTTTCACAGAGATCTCTCCAACAACCCGATCTCCAATCTGAGCGGTTTCATATTTCAGGGTTTCAGCCATCTTACCCATCTGTAAGTTATGCATTAGCACTGTATATCATGTTAATAACATTTAAGTCAGGGGTTTTCAACTGGGGTCCCGGGACCAGGGGGCTGCAAGGGAGTGCTAGGGGGTCCATGGAAAAAGTTAGAGAAAAAACTGTGAAATAGATAATAAAATAATAAAAATGTTGTAACTATAATAAAAAACGAAATATTTTCCAAATAATTTTTAATGCATATGATTGGGTATAATATAAATTGGGTCCTTATACATGAAAATATAAAGCTGTCTTTTAAAGGTGCCATAGAATGGAAAACTGTATTTACCTTGGCATAGTTGAATAATAACAGTTCTGTACATGGAAATGACATACCGTGAGCCTCAAACACCATAGTTTCCCAATAGTATCCAGCTGCAGACCCGCAGCCACAGAACCGGAAGTGAGGGGCGGAGTTATTGACAACGAGAGAGCACGGTGAGTAGTCTGTAATGTTTTTGCTATCATATGTTTAATAATTATCGTATATATTACGTTAAGCATTTATCTGCTAAGTACTTAACGTGTGCTTGGCTTTATTATCTTATATTGAAACTTGAATTTGTTGTCATACTTTATAGTATATAACTTGTTTCTGTGGATGTTTCGATTAATTTTCGGATGCATGCTGTAAATGGGCCTTGTGGTGAAGTTTTGAAGACGTTTATTATTCATAAAAATAAATAGCTTGCTTTAATTCCCTCTGGTATATGCATTGTTTGTGTGTTAATATTACCTTGTAGTTTAGTTATTTTAATCCCAATCATTGAGATAATTGTGTGTGGCTTCATCTCTTGTAGAGACATATAAGGATTCAGAGAGTTGACACATTACCTGAGCTGCAGCAGTGCAACAAGTGTTACAGCAATTACCAGCAATTTTCTGCTTGACCTGTGTTTTATTGAAATGTTTTAGTTTTCATATAGAAAAATTTATGATGCACGTGTTCTTGACTTTGGAGTAAACATTTATTTTGAATCTTGTGATTAAAGTATATTTCATATAAAATGCCCAGAAGTTTCAAACATTATTTTTAATATCACAAACAGGAAATTACTCGCATAATACGATGAAATGAATAACTGTATAGGTTTACAACTAATAACTGTATAGGTCTACAACTAAATTACACAAGATGTATATAATGTTTATAAAATGCTTAATATGTCATTATAAAATGCATACATAAAGTATGACGTATGGTGTGTAATAAAAGCAAATTACCCCTTAAAAACCGTAAGGTGGCGCTACTCTTTTAAAAAATGTAAGCTCCGCCCCTCACTTCCGGTTCTGTGGCTGCGGTTCTGAAACGGCTGGTGCTGCGGGTCTGCAGCTGGATATATCTCTAAGTATAATTACCCAACGATATAACTGCGAGAGAGAGTACTGAAATATATATATTCCCTGTGTTTCCTTCCTGCTGTGCGAGCTACTGAAATGAGCGGCACTGTGAAACAGCCAATCAGAGCAGAGCTTAACATTATTATTCATGACCCTTCCAAATAAGGTAAAAACAGACCATTTCATTCTAGGGACAAATCCTAGGGTTGTAAATGGACATGTAAAACCGTTTCTGGAGATTTTTTGCCCTTACCTAAGCCACATACCTTCTATGTAGATATCAGAAAGCAAAATATTGTATAAATGCATTCTATGGCACCTTTAGATTTTCGGACGGGGGTCTCTTTGACAAGGATGATGACATTCATCCATGGGGTCCATGGCATTTAAAAGATCTAAAAGATTGAAAATCCCTGATTTAAGCTAACACAGTAAGTTAACTTGACAAATCTTTACTTAGTTTACTACCCTCAAAACTGGAGTGTCCAGGGGGAAATGCATCATGGGAGAAGGTTGAAGTGAAAAACAATGCCAGAATCTGCAAAGGACAGAAAAATATTTGCAATCAGACGGCGCAGATGTGTAAGTAACCAAAAGAACTGGGATCTCAGTCTTCAAAATGCAAAAATGTATGTCTTTCAGTGCATTTCTTGATTATGGTTTGTCTCTTCAGCCTGGGATTGCCCTGAAAACTCATTCTGCAGCCCATACGGACCAGGGTTCTTTGAGTGTAGTTGTCTGCATAATTTCTATGGATACAAGTGCATGAGACAGGTTAGACCCCCGTCAAATAATCCCAAACAGGTTGGCCATTACTCCTTTATTGCACACGTTCATTGTTCTTTAACAATTGCAGGGGGAGTTTCCTATAGTTAAGGTGCTTTGGATACTAACCGGATCAACAGTTGTGGTTTCATCTTTACTCTGGTTCACACAAAGACGAAAGGCCAAGAACATTTGAGTTTTAAAGAGAGCTGACTGTTGGGCTGACAGTGGAGCCACAAAATGCATCAAGCTTATTGAAAATGGTGCAGCGGACCAACCAGTTTCATACACAGGACGGTTAACCATCTGCTGAAAATTGCAGTTTCTTGTTTTTTAAACTTGCCAAAAGCAGGTTTGCATGACATTTTTTTTAATGAATAATTTTGTACAGTTTGTTTTATTTCACTTTCTTTTGACCCTCAATGTCCTTAAATGTTTTTATTTATACATTTTACGAAAGCTTTCATGAATACTGACATTTTCACAGCCTTGACAAGGCTGGTTTGTAAAGGGAAAACTGACCATAGACTGACCTCGCCGATTGTGTTTGGAGGACAGCCACATTTCTGACAATGTTTTGACTCTGAACATGTCAAAGTGAAGCACTGAGATATTTTAGCAATGATTTATTAAGGACAAATATTTTGTGTTGTTTAAAGACAAAAAGTAATTGTATTTTAAAGATGAATTATATAAGAATTATAGGTTTTCTGACATGTAAAAAAAGAATATTCATTTTACAGTGAAGGGGAAATGGATGTCATAGGACATATTTGTGAAAAATGTAGATTGTTACGGTCACCTGTTTACAGATGTCACATTTCATATTTCATAACTGACAACTCTTCGACCTCTGAAACTGCATGCTTTTCTTTTAGGCAGTGTAAGTGTAAAAGAGAATCTGTTTGATCTGCTAATATGAGATATATAGACAGACACTATTAGTAGAATACTGACATAAATTTCATTGTGAGTTTCTGCCAAGAATGTAGTATTGTGGTATAGAATTCAGCGTGTACCTTGGCAACTAAAATAAAGATTTGTCACAATATCACAAAGAATCAGCCAACAACAGTTTTTTTTAATCTAAACCATTTATTTTTCTGTAGCATTTCCAAGGTTTTGGTAATACAAACAAAACCCCTTATGCAACATAGTCAGCTTTTGCATGGTCTTACACACATTTGCACCATGTTCTATTTCCCTTTTTCACATCAATGAAAGGACTTCGGCAAGAGCAACTATCCAAAAAGGATGATTTTTCTTATGTTTATGTCTATGCGCTGACCACCATGATGGGCCAAAACTGAAAGCACACATGCTTTACAGACACTTTCTTGAATTTCGTGGATCTGACTTTCTTGATCTTGTGTAAAACAATTCTAAGTACTAATTTGAGAATTTTCCAAAGAAAATCTCATTAGGTGGACTGAACCGGACTGCGTTATTTTTTCAGAAAATGGAATTGGAACAGTTATACAATTCAAAATTAAATGGATCCCACCAGTAAGGATGTAAACAGTGGCTTTATTTGAAAAGCTTGTTCCTTTTCATAGATATGTTTAAGCCCCATGTGCACAGACTCTTTTATGTGCAGATGCAAGAGGGAAGCAGAACCGTGTTCGTCTGCTCTTCACTGATCTACGTTCTTGACTCGCAGTACCACAGGCACAGAGGTGCAGGGGATCATGCCCAAGTCAGTGATTACAAGGTCCACAAAGTCCGGTGGCGTCACGTCATACACCAAGTTCAGAAGCCCCAGTGATTTAACAGTCTGCCAGTTCTCTAGGTGGGTCTTTCCATTTCTGGTAACAATCAGGTCATCAGGGTCATCTGTAAAAAAAAAAAAATATATATATATTAATGTTTATTTTTGTGTGTGTAAATACCTATATATGTCACTTATAAAATAATAGTAAATTCACCAAACAAGCTAAACATCACAGAGTTACCTAATTCATTGGATTCAAAAGAGTCCGTCTGTACTCGTTCACAGAACTTGTAGGTCTCACAGCAGACCAGCACTGGTACATTGTAGGCCTTTGCTACCAGGGCAATCTGGGAAGTTCCCACACGTGACATCACATATCCATTGGCAAGGAGTGCATGGGCACCAAGAAATACCTTGGATACCTGCAAATAAGAGCGCAAAGTCCAAGTTCTGATTCAGCATTCATGATAACAATGTTTTTAATGACAACATAAAGGCCAGTTAACTTTAGTGCAATCACACTACCGTTCAAAAGTTTTTTTTGAAGGAAATTAATACTTTTATTCAGCATGTATGCATTAAATTGATCAAAAGCGACAGTAAAGACATTTATCATAGATTTCTATTTTAAAAATGCTGTTCTTTTGAACATTCTATTCATCAAAGATCCTGAAACAAAAATGAAGGATCACGTGACACTGAAAACTGGAGTAATGACTTCTGAAAATTCAGGTTTGCCATGACGGGGGAAAAAAAATCACATTTTGAAATATATTAAAACAGAAAACAGTTCTTTAAAATTGTAATGTTTTTCGACAATATTGCTGTATCGCTGTATTTTTGATCAAATAAACAGCCTTGGTGAGCATAAGGGGGAAGTCGTGGCCTAAAGGTTAGAGTCTTGTACCGGCAGGGATTGTAGGTGGGGGGAGTGAATGTACAGCACTCTCTCCCACCTTCAATAGCACGACTGAGGTGCCCTTGAGCAAGGCACCGAACCCCCAACTGCTCCCCGGGCGCCGCAGCAAAAAATGGCTGCCCACTGCTCCGGGTGTGTTCACTGCTGTGTGTGTGCACTTTGGATGGGATAAATGCAGAGCACTAATTCCGAGTATGGGTCACCATACTTGGCCACATGTCACGTCACTTTCACTTTCATTAGAGACTTTTTCAGAAACATAAAAAAAATCTTACTGACCCCAAACTTTTGAACAGTAGTGCACACTATATTTTGTTTAACACAATAATCTAAACATTCAGAACCTTGCAGTGCCATATAATAATTAAATTGCCATCTAAGAGTGTCCTTAAAGCTGCAGTCCGTAACTTTTGCCTCTTTGTCGCCATCTCTGTTTGAAAACCTGCAATTGCAGCTGTCTGCGGAATTATCTTCCTTGTGTGGGTTGTGCTCCGGCATGGCTCCAGCGCGGATGAATCTAATGTTTTGAGGAGTATGTGTGGCTGTCAGTCACCGCACCGGTGTGGATATTGTACTTTGCACTCACAGATTCTATCCTACGTCTTGGAATATATGACTCAAATAAAAATGTCTACTGTATATTGTCATCTGAACAATATACTACTTCTGCCACTTTTGTTCTAACCAACGGAGGAAAATTTACAATTTACAATTTAACATTACAATAAATCACGCTACCAATGGTGATTTAATCTAAAGCTTGGTTAGCTCATATCACATCAAACCCTGCTAATTATTATTATTGTTGTACTTTATTCTCAAATTGTTAATGTTAACAACATCAGCATTACGTGACTATGTGAATATAGTGTAAATTAGCATGTAGATTTAAATTTCTGTACAGTCTAATCTCTAATTGTCATACCATTCGAATTTCATATTAAGAAATTCTTTTAACCCAAAAAGCAAATTATGCTCCCTTCGAACTGGTTGTCTTTAAAATACAAATCTTGTGTAATCCCAGGCTATCCGTAATCAGAAGCACATTTAAAACTGGAATATAATTTAATTTCATTCACATGTGTTTCATAAACACATAGTCCTTTCTGGATTACAATCCGCCATCAAAATTATACATTTAATTATTCCAGCTGCTGTGAGAAAATGCTATAAACGATCGGCCACCTGCAGGATCCTCACATGCGATAGCCTAGTAGCCGGGACAACTTCTTTATATTTACAGAAGTGACGTAATGACGCGGCAGCATGCTCGAATTTCCCGCGAAATCCTACCCGTACCACTCCAATTAGAAAACGTTATTATAAGCTAACCGTTGTGAATCGGGCTAAAGTAAGGCGATAGTTTTGAACACTGGCTGATTATGTACTTGCTCAAATATTGATTTCGGATCATTTTTAACCAAAAAAAGTTACGGACTGCAGCTTTAATAAAAGTATACTAGTAAAAATAAAGTGCACATGCTGTTCTAAACTCTAGATTGTTCTTAATGAAAGCGGTTAAATTTGGTAGAGACTGATAGAGCCGAGCAACTCTTCTATTAGCACAACTTCAGTTGCTACTGTGTATTGTTAAGAACGAAAGTACCAAACCATAATTAAGCTGTATTTTTAGCTACTGCTGATGTCATACACAATCAATCCTTTGAAGGTACATGCACTTTTGTAAGAAATCCCCTTGCCTCGCAATGAGCTAAAAATACATTATGCTTGCAAAAAGCTTTACTGAAAAGAATGACTCACTTCAGGCAGAATGTAGGACAAGGCAGATATAAGCACGTAAGTACATCGGATGCCTTTCTTCACCAGACGCCTCAGTGCCTCTCTGCCCTCCAGCCTGGGCCGACTGTCCACAACTATGACTCTGAACTTCCTCTGCTTTTCAAAAGCTTCGCACAGAATGTGGTTGACAAGTGAAGAGCTAGAAAAAGACAAGAAAGGCATTTCTGAAACACTTCTGAATGTGTTAATCCAGACTATTACAGGATTACGTCAATTCACTGAAAACTCTTACCAGCCATAAACAAGAATAACATCTCCATCACTTATCTTCTCAATAGCGTACTTAGAAATGGCTTCAGAAGCCAAAATGATCTTCTCGTTTATGTAACTGTCAATGCATTCCTGCAGTCTCCTTTTCGCCTGTTGAGAAAACATTTATTTTAGAAAGTCGAAGGAATTCTATTGTATATAAACGTCTCTAAACTAATGACTCTGAAGTCTAAAGTGACTATGAATACTCTTACCTCTTCTTCTTTGCACTGACTGGGTATATTTGAAATTTCCTTCTTGATGTACTTGATGGCATTGCCCATGCTGGCTGAAAGGGGCCGACACTGGCTGAGAAAACTGCAGGTGTGAAGAGCATTTGCAGTGTTTGTTAAAAATCTGTTTCCATGTAAGATCAGAGTTCAAATAAAATATGTCCATATCAGTTTTCACAAGGAAGATGGTGAACCTGATATAGGGCGACAGCTTGTTCACAAGGTCCCTCGACAACTCCTCATTTGGAGGTGTGCTATAGTCTTGAATAACCTAAAAAATGATTTAAATGTTAATTAAATCTAAAAATTAAGAACATTCCATAGGTTGTTTTATTATTTATTATTATTATATTACCTGTTTAAAGGCATGTAGTAGGGCCACAGATCGAGCATTGGATCCTGCTATAATGCCCTGAGAGTACTGCAGGCCCAACCGAACAATGGATGGGTGAATAACTGTGGCAGGGATGCTACAAAATAAACCATATCAAATAATAAATCAACCAACTAAATCATTCAGGTTATACACGCTTAATTTCTAATGTCACTCCTGAAAAAATAAATACATTTAATTGTAAAAATGTAAATTTATTTTTTTCCACTGAGGTCTACTTATAATGTTAGTAAAGTTTTTTTATGCCTTATTTAAATTTTTCAAGCACATTTTCTAACCTCAAAATTAATCAAATTTCTAATCGTGATTTCAATTACGGATGCAACAATTATGTAATCGTTCAAAGCAGCACTTATGTTCACTTATGTTATTCTGCATGCTTAAGATGTGTTTATCTACAGGTTATCTTAAGGGTTTTTCCATTGTTTTAATTTTAGTTTTAGTATAACATTATAATACCATACATATTTTTACTTTTTTTTAATTATTATTATTTAAAGAAACCAATCCAGTGTATAGTTGACATTTGAGGCTTAATACTATAGAAAAGCAATAAAAGTATTTCAGTTAGAGTGTTTTCAGCTTTCAGCTCAGTTTATTTTCATATAAAAATATGGAATGCAGTTGCATTAAACAATCGTGTAAACATCATTCTGTGTAAATTGTGATAATCATAATTAATAATGGCAATTACAATTTCAAAGGAACAATTATGAT